CTCACTATCACTCACTATCACTCACCACTCACTATCACTGACCACTCACAACTCACCCTGACCACTTACCCTCACCACTATTCCTCACTACTTACCCTCACCAATCACCAATCACCCTCAAGCATACTTGGTGACACGTAAGTAAGTTTTTAAAACGGGAATAGTGTGAGTGGTGGTGGTGAGGGTGAGTGTTGAGGGTGAGTGGTTAGGGTGAGTAGTGAGGGTGAGTGGTGAGCATGAGTGGTGAGCGTGACTGGTGAGGGAGAGTGGTGAGGGAGAGTGGTGAGGGTGAGTAGTGAGTGGTGAGGGTGAGTGGTAAGTGGTGAGAGTGAGTGGTGAGGGTGAGTGGGGAGGGTGAGTGGCGGTTAGTGGTGATTAGTGAGGGGTGAGTGGTGAGGGTGAGTGGTTGTTGTGAGGGTGAGGTTGAGTGGTGAGCAGTGAGGGTGAGTGGTGATTGGTGAGGGTGTGATTGGTGAGGATGAGTGGTGAGGGTGAGTGGTTGTTGTGAGGGTGAGTGGTGAGGGTGAGTGGTAAGTGAGTGGTGAGGGTGAGTGACGGTTGTGAGAGGTGATTAGTGAGTGGTGAGGGTTAGTGGTGAGGGTGAGTGGTGAGGGTGAGTGGCGGTGGGTGAGGGTGAGCAGTGATTGGTGAGGGTGTGATTGGTGAGGATGAGTGGTGAAGGTGAGTGTTGAGGGTGAGTGGTTAGGGTGAGTAGTGAGGGTGAGTGGTGAGCGTGAGTGGTGAGCGTGACTGATGAGGGAGAGTGGTGAGGGAGAGTGGTGAGGGTGAGTGGTGAGGGTGAGTGGTGAGGGTGAGTGGGGAGGGTGAGTGGCGGTTGTTAGTGGTGATTAGTGAGGGGTGAGTGGTGAGGGTGAGTGGTGAGGGTGAGTGACGGTTGTGAGAGGTGATTAGTGAGTGGTGAGGGTGAGTGGTGAGGGTTAGTGGTGAGCATGAGTGGCGAGGGTGAGTGTTGAGCGTGAGTGGTGAGGGTGAGTGGTGATTGTTGAGGGTGTGATTGGTGAGGATGAGTGGTGAGTAGTGAGGGTGAGTGGTGAGGGTGAGTGGTGAGTGGTGAGGGTGAGTGGCGGTTGTGAGTGGTGATTAGTGAGGGGTGAGTGGTGAGGGTGAGCGTGAGTGGTTAGGGTGAGTGGTGAGGGTGAGCGGTGAGGGTGAGCAATGAGGGTGAGTGGTGATTGGTGAGGGTGTGATTGGTGAGGATGAGTGGTGAGTGGTCAGGGTGAGTGGTGAGGATGAGTAGTGAGTGGTGAGGGTGAGTGGCGGTTGTGAGTGGTGATTTGTGAGGGGTGAGTGGTGAGGGTGAGTGGTGAGGGTGAGCGGTGAGGGTGAGTGTTGAGGGTGAGTAGTGAGGGTGAGTGGTGAGCGTGACTGGTGAGGGTGAGTGGTGAGGGAGAGTGGTGAGGGAGTGTGGTGAGGGAAAGTGGTGAGGGTGAATGGTGAGGGTGAGTGGTGAGGGTGAATGGTGAGGGTGAGTGGGGAGGGTGAGTGGTGAGGGTGAGTGGCAGTTGTGAGTGGTGATTAGTGAGGGTGTGATGCCGTCGCCACGAAACCGTTCGGCAGGCGCCCCATCTGCGACCTCGCCATCACCAAGCGACGGAGCCGACCCCGCGTCCCCCTCACCTCACCTCACATGAACACACCCCCACACATTTTCCCCCACCCATAGAGCTGGAAGGGGAGGTCACCTGATCGACCGGTTTTTATCCGAGAAACCCTTATCGGGATTAACTCTCACGGTTTCCGGCGATCAGGGAATTGAACGACCTCCCCCGACGCTACCGTGCACCGCGGCGCTGCGACCGGCCTTAAGATGGTATGGCCGCGGCGAAGCGCATCCCCCCCACACACCACCCACGTGTCGACGGGGCAAGCAGGGGAGGGACGGGGCGGCATAGTTTAGGGTGCGCAATTGATAGGGCAGGTGGTGGGGACATGCGGAGGCTCCGCGCTTAACTTCAGCAGCGGGCCGTGGTGATGGACGCCGCTGCATGGTGCGCAGGAGCACGGCGCCATGCATGAGAAAGGGATTAATTAGAATTTACGCCGCGCACGCCGCACACTGATTAACATATCAAAAGTGCCCGGAACCGCCGTGCGCGTGCTAGAGGGGCGCGAGCCCATTGTTCAGAGCCGCATCCCTTTGAGGTAGGGAGGATAAATAGGGGGCGCAAAGGGGAAATCGCTCTCACTCCAGCGCCAGAGGACCAGACGCAGCTCCAGCCAGCGACCCGGACGTCCGTGCGACGCATCGCGGTACGCTGTTAGCACAGGGAGCAGCAAACCGCTGTGGGCACCCAACAGTGAGTAAGGAGGTGAAGTAGGGTCATAACCGATAAATAGGGAATAGGTACAGGTTTAGTGGAATAGGCCAGCCTTGTCGACTCACTGATTTAACATTAATGACCAGGTAGCAGATAATAAATCATTAATAGCGAATCGTGGCCTCGTGTGATCTCGTGAGCGGTGTGAACGCGTGTAGTGCTGCGGCTCGCCTCGGGGGAGCGCTGCGCAGAGCGGCGCGAGAGTGGGTGTCACGTGTGGAGCTGCGTGTGTGCGCGTGTGTGATACAGGTGCGCGATCATAACGCGAGTATTCAGTGGTGAGCGAGTGCCGCACAGGGCTATAGACGGGCACACGCTCGCAGCGTGCGAGAGCTGTAAGTAGCGGTGTAAAGAGGGGGAGTATGGCGTTTGATTGATGATGCTGTGCGCACACGTATGCTCGCAGCGTGGGAGCGCGGCGCGAGGCTGTAACAGTAGGGGCGTCGCGTTCGAATGCTGGCGAAACCGTAGCGGGTAATAGGGCGGTGCGGCAACGCAACCGGAATAGGGGATGCGTGAGGGAGAGACCCCGGGGGCCAACGGCCCCCACAAGGGGTGAGTGGTGAGGGTGAGCGGTGAGTGGTAAGGGTGAGTGGTGAGGGTGAGCAGTGAGGGTGAGTGGTGATTGTTGAGGGTGTGATTGGTGAGGATGAGTGGGGAGTAGTGAGGGTGAGTGGCGAGGGTGAGTGGCGGTTGTGAGTGGTGATTAGTGAGGGGTGAGTGGTGAGGTTGAGTGGTGAGGGTTAGTGGAGAGTGGTGAGTGATGATTGGTCAGTGGTGATTGGTGAGGATGAATGGTGAGTAGTGAGGGTGAAGTTGGAGTGGCGAGGGTGAGTGGTGGTTGTGACGGCGAGTGGTGAGGGTTAGTGGTTAGGGTTAGTGGTGAGAGTGAGTGGTGAGGGCGAGTGGTGATTGGTGAGGGAGATTGGTGAGGGAGGTTGGTGAGTGGTGAGTTGTGAGGGTGAATGGTGAATAGTGAGTGGTGAGTGGTGAGGATGAGTGGTAAGGGTGAGTTGTGAGTGGTGAATGGTGAGGGTGAATGATGAGTACAGTCAATATGCACTGCTGTTATCATACCAGGTACCACCACAATATGTACTCCTCTCATCATAGCAGATACCACCACAGCAGTATGCACTGCTGTAATCATAGCAGGTACCAACACAGCAGTATGCACTGCTGTAGTGATAGCAGGTACGACCTCAGTCGGTATACACTGCTGTAGTGATAGTAGATACTGCTATCGAGTTGATAGATACCGCTATAGTAAATACTAAAACAGTCAGTATATACCACTACAGTCAGTCAATATTGCTAGTCAGTATATACTACTATACAGTCAGTACATACTGCTACGGTGAGTAGTTACTAGAGTCAGTAGATACTATTATAGAGTGAGTAGATACTGCTATAGATTTTGTAGTTACTACTATAGTCAGTGGATACAACTATAGAGTCAGCAGATACTATACAGTTAGTCGTTACGAGTATATAGTCGGTAGATACTACTGTAGGCCCAGTAAATACTACTATGGTCAGTAGTTATTAGTCACTAAATACTACTACACAGTAGCTACTACTGGCTCAGTAGATACTACGGTACAGTCAGTAGATACTACTACAGAGTCAATAGATACCACTTCCTCGGTTGTATGTAAGGTGTTGTTAGTATATATACCTACGAGGGGTAAAGATATTTGAGGGGGGGGGGGGGGGGGGGAGACCACAATTTTCGGAAACATTTTTACATCAACTATTTACCCCACACTTTCTACAACTTTTTGGACTTGTGAAAGCCTCTTATATATTTGTTGGTGGAGAAATGTACAAACAGCCCACCGGGCTTTGACAATACCTTAGTATCTGTGTATATATATGTAAGGTTTTTAAGAAATATATTTTTCACCCGGGCAAAGCCGGGTACTTCCGCTAGTTACTTATAAGGGAAACAAATACGAATGAATAACAATTGAATGATTACCAATCTATATAATTACAATACCCTCCCCCTCTTTGCCTCGAATCACTGCACCAGATTGAATGAGATGATGACGTCACCCTGATGCTGCTCTATTTAAGACCGGGAGCAACAAGAGAGCTTCACCATTCTTGCCCGATGAAGCTGATTGTAATTACCAGCGAAACGTCGTGCTACTCAAGTTTTAAAATGCTGTTGATTCTCTCTTCAGCACACCGGTGGGCTAAAGAAGTCAATTAATTTGTCCTTTGAAAACGTGACACATTTTTTACTGTTTGGCCTTGTCGGGTGGTGGAGGGTTACGACACATTTATAAATAACGCGATCAGACCCAAAAAACTAAATTATTATGAATATATGGGGGATCTTTGCCTTTGGGCAGGTGAATAGGCAGGTGGGTGAGGGAGCGGGTGGGGCCGAGTGGGTGGGCGAATTAGCGAGTGGGTGAGTAGGCAGGTGAGGGTGAGGTGGGCGAGGCGGATGGGCAGGGTGAGTGCAGGTGGGGGAGTGGGTGGGTGAATGAGCAGGTGGGTGGGCGAGTAGGCAGGCGAGGGTGCAGGTGGATAGGCAAGCGAGTGGGTGGGTGGGTGGGAGAGTCGATGAGAACGGGGCAGGTGGACGAGAATGAGGGAGGTGGGTGGGGAGTGCCCCCCACCGCCAACACGACGATACCCACTCCAAGCCATTAAAACGTTCGTCATTTATTCATCACAGGTTCCAAGGGAGGGGAAGAGACATTGCCGTGAAGTATGGGAGGGGTGGGGCGTGGGTGGGCGACACACGGAACACAGCAACAGAAACAACAAAGCCCCTCGCGCGTGCCAAACCCCACTCTCTACATCACCTTACCCCACACCACCCCACACCACCCCACCCCCAACTCTAGCCCCTCCCCCCAACCAAGACAATAAAATAAACAGCAAAACTAAACAAACAAAAACCATCATCACTTTGGCAACAATATACAGTACGGAGTCAAGCACGCGTGTGTTGGTGGTGGCGACTGCTATGATGATGGTGGTGGTGATGGTGATAACGCTGATGGATGGTGGTGACGATAGCGGTGATGGTGACAATGATGACGGTGGGTGATGATGATGATAGTGGTTGGTCGTGGTGACGATAGCGGTGGTGGTGATAGCAATGGTGGTGGTGGTGGTGGTGACGATAATAGCGGTGGTGGTGATAGCAATGGTGGTGGTGGCTAAACGATGATAGTGGTGGTAGTGGTGGTGAAGGTGGTGGTGACAGCGCCGGTGGTGACGATGATAGCGGTGGTGAAGGTGGTGGTGGTGCGTCACCTCCTACACTAACGCCTCTGGTGCCGTGAGCACCCTAAGAATCGTCGTCCTCAAAGACTCGGCGCGAGTTGGGGAAGCGGCTGGGGTCGTAGTCAGAGTCGTCCTTCAGCCGCTTCTTGATGTCAGACTTCACCTGGAGGGGGCGGGGGGGTGGATCGAGGGGGGGGGGGGGGGGGGGGGGAGTGACCTCTCCGCACGTCACCCGCCGCCTGTACACGAGTGACGTGTGACGTGTCACCTGCTGCCTGTACGCGAGTGACGGTGCGACGTGTCACCTGCCGCCTGTACGCGAGTGACGGTGTGACGTGTCACCTGCCGCCTGTACACGAGTGACGTGTGACGTGTCACCTGCTGCCTGTACACGAGTGACGGTGCGACGTGTCACCTGCTGCCTGTACGCGAGTGACGGTGCGACGTGTCACCTGCCGCCTGTACACGAGTGACGGTGCGACGTGTCACCTGCCGCCTGTACGTGAGTGACGGTGCGACGTGTCACCTGCTGCCTGTACACAAGTGACGGTGCGACGTGTCACCTGCTGCCTGTACACGAGTGACGGTGTGACGTGTCACCTGCTGCCTGTACACGAGTGACGGTGCGACGTGTCACCTGCTGCCTGCACACGAGTGACGTGCGACGTGTCACCTGCCGCCTGTACACGAGTGACGGTGCGACGTGTCACCTGCCGCCTGTACGTGAGTGACGGTGCGACGTGTCACCTGCTGCCTGTAGGCGGCCTGCGTGGCGTCGGCGTCGCGTGCCAGCGACTCCACGCTGGTCACCGGCTGAGCCCCGGCTCCGCGCGCCGCTCGGCGAAGAGCGTCGGCTAGGGACAGGCGCCCACCCTCCCCTTCCTGCATGGTCTACGGACAGCATCGCAACGTGTCACCAATCAACCACACCGCCACCACCACACCAATCAACCACCACACCACCAAACAACCACACCGCCACCACCACACCATCATCACACCATCCACCACACCAAACAGCAACACCACCACCACACCAAACAACCACCCCACCACACTACCAAACAACCACACCGCCACCACCATCACACCACACCAAACAACGACACCACCCCAAACCACCACACCAATCAACCACCACACCACACCACCAAACAACCACACCATCATCACACCATCCACCACCACCCCACACCACCAAACAACCACACCGCCACCACCACACTAAACAATCACACCTCACCACCACACCAAACAAGCACATATAAAACCTCACCCGCACCTTCCTGCGCTTGGCGGGCATGCCGCTGAGATAGGCGTCGCTGAACGGAGCCTGCGGCTTGATGCGCCGCTGGCTGTGGATGTCCTGCCTCATCACCGGCACCCAGTCCTGCCGGGCTCACCGGGGGGAGGAGGGGAGCATTAGCACGGTGGGCTACGTACTGTGTAAAAGAAGTTCTCACCTCTCTCTCCACACTCCACCTCACTCTGTGTGTGTTCGACAAACTCCACTCAAGACGGCTCCCATCCCATTGCAATCCTCCAAACCACCCCACCCCACCCAACCACCACAGTCTACAGACGGACATCCCCATGTGACCAAGCGTCTGCTATCCCCACACGATCCTCCAAAACCCCACCCCACCCAACCACCAGTCTACAGACGGATGTCCCCGTGTGACCCATGACGTCTCCCATCGCGGTCACCCGAACCGCCCCCACCGCGGCGGTGGTGGTGGTGGTGCTGGTGGTGGTGATGGTGGTGGTGATGGTGGCGGTGCTGGTGCGGTGGTGCTGGTGGTGGTGCTGGTGCTGGTGATGGCGGTGGTGATGGTGGCGGTGCTGGTGGCGGTGCTGGTGGTGCTGGTGGTGGTGATGCTGGTGGCGGTGGTACAGCGGCGGGTGCCAACGACTCACGGGGGGCACCACGGAGGCCCAGGCGTCGCCCACCAAGGCTCCTGCCTCCGCGCCCGTCGCCGCTGCCTCCTCCTCCTCCTGGACAAGCGTCGCCCCCCCCGGCGGCGCTGCGTCCATGGCTACGGGCCGGTCGGCCAGACCCGCGGCCTCTTCCGCGGTGGTGGCCGGCGGGGGAGACTGCATGGGAGCCGACTGACGGTGGCAGCGTTAGCGGTGGTGTTGATTGTAGCATTAGCGGTATTGATGATGGTAGTCGTGTTGGTGGTGGTATTGAGGATGATGTTAGCGGTGTTGACGGTGGTGGTATTGATGGTGGTGGTATTGAGGATGTTAGCGGTGTTGACGGTGGTAGTATTGAGGATGATGTTAGCGGTGTGGACGGTGGTATTGATGGTGGTGGTATTGAGGATGATGTTAGCGGTGTTGAGGGTGGTGGTATTGAGGATGATGTTAGCGGTGTTGACGGTGGTGGTATTGATGATAGTGGCAGTGATGGTGGTAGCAGGGACGAGAGGCAGGATCAGTTTTGGTAAAAAATAAAATTCACAAACTAAGCGGATAAACAGACATTTTTTCCCATAATATTTTCTCTGCATTTCCCCCCCCACCCGCCCATCTATTGGTCTCCGTGTGAGTCTATGGGTCTCTGTGTGTGTATGAAGAGAGAGAGAGAGAGATCGAGGAGCCATTGCCCAAAGTGCAGCCGATCTAATGAAAAGAAATAACAAAAAATTTGTTACAACTGACGCTTCATTGAAATGTGACATTAAGTCGTTACACCGAGGTGGCGAGTCTATGGGTCTCTGCTGTGAGAGTCTATGGGTCTCCATGTGAGTCTATGGGTCTCCATGTGAGTCTATGGGTCTCTGTTGTGTGAGTCTATGGGTCTCCATGTGAGTCTATGGGTCTCTGCTGTGTGAGTCTATGGGTCTCCATGCGAGTCTATGGGTCTCCGCTGTGAGAGTCTATGGGTCTCCATGTGAGTCTATGGGTCTCTGCTGTGTGAGTCTATGGGTCTCTGTTGTGTGAGTCTATGGGTCTCCATGTGAGTCTATGGGTCTCTGCTGTGTGAGTCTATGGGTCTCTGCTGTGTGAGTCTATGGGTCTCCATGTGAGTCTATGGGTCTCTGCTGTGTGAGTCTATGGGTCTCCATGTGAGTCTATGGGTCTCTGCTGTGTGAGTCTATGGGTCTCTGCTGTGTGAGTCTATGGGTCTCTGCTGTGAGAGTCTATGGGTCTCCATGTGAGTCTATGGGTCTCTGCTGTGTGAGTGTATGGGTCTCTGCTGTGCGAGTCTATGGGTCTCTGCTGTGTGAGTCTATGGGTCTCTGTTGTGTGAGTCTATGGGTCTCTGTTGTGTGAGTCTATGGGTCTCTGCTGTGTGAGTCTATGGGTCTCTGCTGTGTGAGTCTATGGGTCTCTGCTGTGAGAGTCTATGGGTCTCTGCTGTGAGAGTCTATGGGTCTCTGCTGTGTGAGTTTATGGGTCTCTGCTGTGAGTCTATGGGTCTCTGCTGTGAGTCTATGGGTCTCTGCTGTGTGAGTCTATGGGTCTCTGCTGTGCGAGTCTATGGGTCTCTGCTGTGAGAGTCTATGGGTCTCTGCTGTGAGAGTCTATGGGTCTCCGCTGTGAGAGTCTATGGGTCTCTGCTGTGTGAGTCTATGGGTCTCCGCTGTGAGAGTCTATGGGTCTCCGCTGTGCGAGTCTATGGGTCTCCGCTGTGCGAGTCTATGGGTCTCTGCTGTGCGAGTCTATGGGTCTCTGCTGTGCGAGTCTATGGGTCTCTGCTGTGCGAGTCTATGGGTCTCTGCTGTGCGAGTCTATGGGTCTCTGCTGTGCGAGTCTATGGGTCTCTGCTGTGCGAGTCTATGGGTCTCTGCTGTGCGAGTCTATGGGTCTCTGCTGTGCGAGTCTATGGGTCTCTGCTGTGCGAGTCTATGGGTCTCTGCTGTGAGAGTCTATGGGTCTCCGCTGTGAGAGTCTATGGGTCTCTGCTGTGTGAGTCTATGGGTCTCTGCTGTGTGAGTCTATGGGTCTCTGCTGTGAGAGTCTATGGGTCTCCATGTGAGTCTATGGGTCTCTGCTGTGAGAGTCTATGGGTCTCCGCTGTGAGAGTCTATGGGTCTCTGCTGTGTGAGTCTATGGGTCTCTGCTGTGAGTCTATGGGTCTCCATGTGAGTCTATGGGTCTCCGCTGTGAGAGTCTATGGGTCTCCGCTGTGAGAGTCTATGGGTCTCCGCTGTGAGAGTCTATGGGTCTCCGCTGTGAGAGTCTATGGGTCTCCGCTGTGAGAGTCTATGGGTCTCCGCTGTGAGAGTCTATGGGTCTCCGCTGTGAGAGTCTATGGGTCTCCGCTGTGAGAGTCTATGGGTCTCTGCTGTGTGAGTCTATGGGTCTCTGCTGTGAGTCTATGGGTCTCCATGTGAGTCTATGGGTCTCCATGTGAGTCTATGGGTCTCTGCTGTGCGAGTCTATGGGTCTCTGCTGTGAGAGTCTATGGGTCTCCGCTGTGAGAGTCTATGGGTCTCTGCTGTGCGAGTCTATGGGTCTCTGCTGTGAGTCTATGGGTCTCCATGTGAGTCTATGGGTCTCCGCTGTGAGAGTCTATGGGTCTCCGCTGTGAGAGTCTATGGGTCTCCGCTGTGAGAGTCTATGGGTCTCCGCTGTGAGAGGGTCTATGGTCTCCGCTGTGAGAGTCGATGGGTCTCTCTGCTGTGTGAGTCTATGGGTCTCTGCTGTGAGTCTATGGGTCTCCATGTGAGTCTATGGGTCTCTGCTGTGCGAGTCTATGGGTCTCTGCTGTGAGAGTCTATGGGTCTCCGCTGTGAGAGTCTATGGGTCTCTGCTGTGTGAGTCTATGGGTCTCTGCTGTGTGAGTCTATGGGTCTCTGCTGTGTGAGTCTATGGGTCTCCATGTGAGTCTATGGGTCTCCATGTGAGTCTATGGGTCTCCGCTGTGAGAGTCTATAGGTCTCCGCTGTGAGTCTATGGGTCTCTGCTGTGCGAGTCTATGGGTCTCTGCTGTGTGAGTCTATGGGTCTCCATGTGAGTCTATGGGTCTCCATGTGAGTCTATGGGTCTCCGCTGTGAGTGTCTACCGAAGGGCCAGGCTCCTCACCTTGACCGA